CCTTCGGCCTAACTAGTACGCCCTACTGGCCTTCAGTCTATCCGGGACGCCCTAGATCTGTTGGCATTCAATACAAAGCAAGACCACATCAACCCAACCACACACCAACCGTGTCGACACACAGACACACACACACACACACACACACATATATATATATATATATATAACATACAAGCATACAAATAACTAGCCAGTAAGCAGACAGACAAAATACTCTACCATTAGAAGATGCTTATCATAATTGCTCGCAAAATCTAAAACACATGCACGTGTCATATCCTCTGAGGTTTGAATTTTCCTCACTTTGGTTGTTCATTTGTGGATGATAGTTTGTTCTCAAACATAATTGCGTACTCATCTCCTCTTGCAAATTTTTCCAAAATCGTGAATTGAACCAGTTGTACAGGTCATAGTTTGCATGAGGTCATCGACATTATGTCTCTATAGCCCAAATGTCACTCACTCACATGTTATGTCCTTAATGTTGGGTTAATCGGTTTTATTATTTTAGGAGTCTATTTTTGTTTAGTTTAAATAATGGACAATTAGGAAAGTAGCCATATTTAAGTCTTTTATTTTATATCCTGCATAGTTTTAGAATTCAAGTAGGATACTTATTTGTCTAGTATAAATAGGATCAATAGTATGGTATTTTCTTTTATGCAAGACTTTTTCTATTTTATTTTTGTTCAAGTAATATATTGGTTTCAATTCTTCCATTCTCACGTATTCTTTTTACTTGTTGCATAAGGGTTTATTTTTGCTTGTTATTTACACAAGTTTCAACCCAAGTAATCTTACACTTGGTATCAGAGCGCGGTTTCGTTGAAGGGGGTGTGATTCGAGGTTGATTAGAAACAACCCCGGTTTCTTTTAATCAGGCTTGTGAGAGACTAACCGGAGGCGCGGAGTAAACGAATGGGAAGACGTCAAAGCGGGTGGCTTTGATTCGGTTCGTTTTGCGGGTGACGGAAGACGGTAAAGGTGGTCGTGACCTTGTCTTGTTGTTCGGTGGAAGAGTGCTCTCGGAACAAGCTTGATTAAAGAAGTCGGGGTTAAGGAGAAAAAAGATGGCGTTGGTTAAAGAAGGAGGTTCGTTGACATATCAAGTTCCGGTTTTGACTCCAACGAATTATCCGGTGTGGGCGGTTAAAGTCAAGTCAATTATGGATGCACATGACATATGGGGGACGGTCGAACCGAAGACGTTAGATAAAGCACCAGATCAAAAGAAGTCAAAACAAACTCTTGCTTTTTTGTTTCAAGCGATACCCGAAGACATGGTGTTGCAAATGGCGAGTTACACCGACCCAAAGCAAGTGTGGGATGGGCTAAAAAACCGGTATTTGGGAGTGGATCGGGTAAGAACGGCTCGACTTGCAACCTTAAAAAGGGAGCTTGAAAGTTTTACGCATGAAAGAGGATGAAACGGTTGATGATTTTGTGACAAAATTATCCGGTTTAACGTCAAAAGTAAGGAGTCTTGGATATGAGCTTGAAGAAGGTGATTTGGTAAAAAGGTTACTAGATTCGATGCCTAAGTCATTTCTCCAAATCGTGGCTTCAATAGAGCAATGTTTCGAGTTGGATTCAATGTTATTCGATGAAGAGGTTGGTAGATTGAAGGCGTACGAGGAGCGTATAAGAGGAACTGAGAAAGTGGAGGACACTCAAGGTGGGTTGTTGTTGGCTAGTGATGAAAAGTCACATGTTTGTAAGAATTGTGGCAATGGACGTTCAAATCGGGATGACTTTGGACGTGGCCGGGGAAGAGGTCGGGGGTCCGGGAGAAGTCGAGATGGTAATGAACGTGTCTGGGATAAAAGTCACGTTAGATGTTACAAATGTGGTGAGCTTGGTCACTATAAAAACGAGTGTCCTAAATGGGAAAAGGAAGAAGCGGGTCTAATCGAAGAGGAACCGACATTGTTTTGAATTAACGACGAGTGGCTCGTATGACAAATCCGATTAAGGGGGTGATTGTTGGGTTAATCGGTTTTATTATTTTAGGAGTCTATTTTTGTTTAGTTTAAATAATGGACAATTAGGAAAGTAGCCATATTTAAGTCTTTTATTTTATATCCTGCATAGTTTTAGAATTCAAGTAGGATACTTATTTGTCTAGTATAAATATGATCAATGGTATGGTATTTTCTTTTATGCAAGACTTTTTCTATTTTATTTTTGTTTAAGTAATATATTGGTTTCAATTCTTCCATTCTCACGTATTCTTTTTACTTGTTGCATAAGGGTTTATTTTTGCTTGTTATTTACACAAGTTTCAACCCAAGTAATCTTACACTTAAGTGTGTGTGGACAACTACTGATTTGGGCCATAGAGAATTTCTCTAACATAGTCGACGTTATGTCTCAACAACACATATTTTAGCGGCACTCTTGCTGTCCGTGGATGCTTTCAGTGGTCTTCGAAGACCGAGCAAAATCTTATCCACACAAACTTCAAAAAGAATTTGTATATCCCAAATGTCATGTAACGCTAAAATGTATTGATTCTTGTTCAGTTCGCCGACTACCACTCAAATGATATCTTGTGCCGTGTTTTCGTGTTTTCGACAACTTAGTTATTAAAAATACATCATCACATTTCCCAATTTCCCATGGCCACCTCAAATAGCTCTAGCTCCCCATACAATTTTAGTTTCAAACTATTCAAACACTTGGCACCATAACTAAAATAGATTGTCATCTATGAAAATCGATTGTTATATAAGAATTTTGTTTTCAATGTACTTCTAATTAGATTACTTCTTTTCGAGTCCGCAATTTTGACCAAATGCATTATTTCTAGTTTCTACACACTCGGTTTTGACCAGGCACCTAACATAAAAGACAACGACGCTGTAACCTTCCCCCAAAGCGGTTGGCTCTCGACAGCGCCACGATACCATAAATAAAAGCTCTCTTTTTCCCAAATCTTAATCTCTTTCCACCTGAAAAATTAACCAACCAACTTATTTCAATCGAAAACGGGTATCGAGATTTTGTGTAGTGATCTATTGGAAAATTCCATCGTCATTGATTTTGATTTCGGAAGGGATTGTTTACGAGTTAGGGTTTAATTGCTCTTTGATTTCTGGGCTTTTCATTCCTTTTATTCTTTGTTACATTTGAACATAAATCTTTGCTCCCAAATCGGTACATTCGTTTTTGTCAAAGAGACCGTGGAGAGCTATGTCGTCGCATTTCGAACGGTGGGAGAAAGATCCGTTCTTTTCTGCTGCTGAAGAAGTTCAGGAATCTGCTGACAGGTATCTGATGCTTGTGTTTTGTCGATTAGGGTTTATATCGTTTTAGTAGTTTTGTACTTGTAGTTTCTTTACCAGATCTTCGTTTATTTACTGTTAATTCTTTCATGGATGAAGAATGGAATCAACATACAGAACACTGATTCACGCTTTGAAAGAACCATCTGCTTGGAAAACAGAAGAACTTCGAAGGGATTTACGCACTGCCCATGGCACTGCTAAATGGCAGGTGATCTTCACGCCATTTTTGTAGATGATTAATAGCTTCTTATTTGCTTACAATTTAACAAAACAACATCGCTATTATCTCCATTTTGACCCTATTGATAATCAATTTTATACAGTTGGAAGAGTTTGAAAAGGCAGTTGAACAGAGTTACATCAAATCTTCTACAGAAGATGCTAAAACCCGACACCGTGAATTTATCAAAGCAATCGATTGTCAAATTTCAAAAGCTTCAAAAGCATTAGATGAATCAGCTATTCCCACAGGAAAACCACCTCGCCCATGGATACGCCTCAATGAAGGAGAAACCGAAGAACTAGCATCATTCCTTTCAGGGTCAAAGTCAAACGTTGACCAAAAACAGAAACAAAAGCTTCCTTCAAAAGTACAATGTCTTAATGAAAAAAATGAGAAGAAAGTTTCAGGGCATAGAAGAACAGCAAGTGCTGGTGCTGACATTGGTGGTGCCTGGAATATTGTGGTGGATGATGATGGTGGAAAACCAGAAGAGCCTCCAAGAAAGATACCCAGTTTTTCAGGGTTTTTAAATGCCATGGATTCTGCAGCAAAATTACAGTGGTCAAAAAATGGTTATAGGAAACTGAAGCTTATTGATAATCGACATGAAGCTGATGTTAAATTGTCTGAGATTCAACCTTTGAGCAAAGTGAGTTTTTATTTAACTTTACATGATTAAGAGCATCCACAATAGTAGAAGCTTTTTTTTTTTTTTTTTTTTTTTCAAATTAGCTTGTAGCTGTTTTATACTTTTTTTTTTTTATAATCTTTTATTCTCTTAGTTTACTAGTTACAAATAAAAGTTATTTTGTTTAGTATAATGTAAAATGGATTTATAAGATATTCCAAAACTCATAAAATGTTATTTCTTCGAATTTTATAAAAACGTAAATTAAAAAAAAAGTTAGAAATTTGGTAACATCTAGAAATGGGAGGAGATATATCCACTCGTTTTTTTATTCATGCACTTTGAAAGATGATCATTTGACTTTTATAACCCTCATTGTAGTTGAAAAGAGAGAATCATGATAATGGTATAAAAGTCAAAACATCTTTTTAAATGGATGAATAAAAAACATACGTGGAAATATCACCCCCTTCAGAAATATATAAACAGTAGAAATTACAAAGTTTATAATAATTAAATATATATGAATTTAGAAACATTTATTGTGATTGTATTATTTTGTGCTATAAATAAAAACGAAACTACCAATATTACTTCACAAAGCAAAATTCTATATACTATTAACTTACATATACTTAATTTCGATTTTATTGATTTACATATAACATCAAAAATGATATAAAATGAAATTGGTAGCATAACTCCCAATAAATAAGCTTTACTATTGTGAATGCTCTAACAATAACTCGTCCTATATGGGTAGAGAATGAAAGTTTTGATCGCCTTACAATATTAATATGTTGTATTTGTATTAAATATTGATAATATTTTGTTTTTTGGCATGAAAAGGGTATTAATGCATGTTATGAAAGGAGTAAGAGTTGCCTTGAGAATGGTGATGATTGTTATCAAAAGCAACTTTACGGGTGGTATGGTGGTATTCAAAGACAACTTCAAAGGTCACAATATTATGTGCAATATAGTCGCCCTACTCAAATCATATTTTGGATACTTGTCCTCATTTTCATTTTTGGTGAGTTTGCTTTTTCATTTTCCAAAAATATATTTAATTTTAATCTTCCTACTTTCATTCTTTCTATTACCACATTCTACTCGATGAATCTTTTTAAGTGCTAAATAAGGAAACAACAATTGGCTTTCATTTATTTGTATATTATAGCACCCTACTTTTATTCTCGGCTATTACATCATTGAACTTTTTTTCTTTTAAGGAAAATTTTACCCAATTGTAGCATTGTACTTTTCAATATTTTTCTTAGGACATTATTATACATTTATACTTAGAAAATATCTAGCCAATTATATAGGAGTGGAAATTGCTTTGTATTTCGATTATATTGCTACCATTGGGTAGATTTTTTAAAGCATGATACTGTAAATTCTAGTAACAAGAAATGAATATAGAATGCTACTATCAACAAATCAACGACAAAATTACCGTTTTTTATTGCTACAATTGCTTTAACCCGTTTTTTATTCACAAAATTACCGTTTTTCTACAATTGCTTTAACCCGTTTTTTATTCACAAAATTACCGTTTTCGATTATATTGCTACAATTGCTTTAACCCGTTTTTTATTCACAAAATTACCGTTTTTCTTGTTTTCTTTAACCACATTCTTATCTTTTTGTTATTAATCACACAAACGTTTTCAATGCTTTATTTTGATTATATTATAAGATAGATTTTTCAAAGCATGATTTTGTAATAAGAAGAAATGAAAGAAGAATGCTATAATAAACAAATCAACCGAAGTATGTTTATGTTTTATCTCTTCAAACCATTTTTTAATCTCAAATTACAGCTTTCTTGTTCTTTTTTTCTGAAAACTTATGTTTTTAATCTTTTTCTTGCAGCAATAGTGACAGTGAATGTGATATGAAACTGGAGCTTTAGTCTTAATTGCAGAAGATTACAAGATACCCAAAAAGGGTGTCTTGGAGTATTGGACATGTTTAAGTGATAAATTTTTTTACCGAATTATAACATTGTATTTGACCTTCATCAGCAATGGTTGTCAATTGTCATAGAAAACCATGTTTTTAGGCGAGTTTTGCAAGTTTATTTTCAGATATGGATTTGTACATATATCAATGCTTCTTTTATGTAAAACAAAAATTGTAAATCTTTAGGGTCAACATGTATGCTTTTGTAGTTGTAGTTGCAGTTGAAACATTCATCCCACTTTAAAACAGTCTGTAGAATGTTTAGGCATGTATTTCTTGGAATATTGGATATGTGTATTCTTATCATTGTTGTACTTGTGCATGTTTTTTCTTACTTTCTGTTGGTTAATACACATATTGGTTTTAAAATCCATCGGATTGGAATGGTTTTTTGATAATGAAATTTGGATAAAACCAACCAGAAAGCAATTTTACAAAACTGCCCCTACCAGAAAGCAATCAGATATGAAAATAAATAAGACATTAATGCTATCATTGGACATCATCTACTGATGTCAAAACAATTTTACAAAACTGCCCCTACCAGAAAGCATGGACATCCATCATGAACTAATACTAAAGGCCAATCTTTATTCAATAATCCCTCAAAATAGAGCCCGCCAAAAAAAAAAAAAAAAAAAAAAACCCTAGCTGGAAATAGCAACATACTTTAATTCATTAGTTATGCATAATATGTTTCTACCATGAAATAAAAATAAAAAATAAAAAATAAAAAACTAATTTTGCGAAAGCTCACGGCTACGCTTTGCAGCAGCAACAACCGCATTCATTAAAATCCCACGGAATCCCGACTTCTCCAGCTCATGAATCCCAGCAATCGTCGTGCCACCTGGCGATGTCACATCGTCTTTCAGCTGACCTGGATGCCTCCCTGTCTCCCTAGCCATACTCGCTGCCCCCAAAACCTTAAAAAAATATATATATGAAAAGACATAAATGCCCTCCGTTTATAGGAATTGTAATCTGTTTCAAATCCATTTCTTATTTGTTTTTTGTTTTTAATTGAAATGTAAATCAAGTTAAATGATATTTTAGGTAATTCTTTCTAAATATAAATTATACGTTATGGTAAAAAAGACTACTTACAGTTTGAGAGGCCAAATTAAGAGCAAGTTCCCGTGGTAGACCTGCAGCAACAGCACCATCCGCTAAAGCTTCTATGACCAGAAATATATAAGCTGGCCCACTCCCACTGAAATTTTAAAAAAAAAACAAAACAACTTAATTTCTTTATCAATAATCACTTTCATTTCAAAATAAATAAATAAATAAATAAAGTTACATTGGTATTTGGTATTATATTGAAAGAGACATATACTTACCTCAAGCCTGTGACTGCATCAAAGAGTTTCTCATCGGCTTTCCATATCTTACCAACCGCTCCAAATAACTTTGCAATTATTTCACCATCTTCTTGTGTTGCTCCTGCTCCCATGCTCATAACTGCATACAAACTATTTTTACAAATATTCCTTTTTTTTTTTCTTGCATTATCTTACATATTTAAAATTAGTAGTTCCATTGATTTGTTTAGTATAGGCTTTATAGCATACTACTTTTGTTATTTTTTGTGGGAAATTTTCACAAAAGTCCTTACGTTTTGACCTCATATTCGATTAAGTCCTTATATATCTTTCTTTCTAGCAATCAAGCCCAAAAAACCAATTATTATAAAAAAAAAAAAAAAAAAGAAAAAGAAAAATATGATGGAAATTATACCAGATGCTCCTTCACCTACAGCAGCAGGGGTATTTGGCATAACCCTAATAAATCGATCATGACCAGCCCATTCCTGGATCAAACAAAACCAATTATTATAAAATTATCACCTTCTAAATATTTCCATAAAACATTAAATTTACAACATTATTAAAATTTTGTTTTCATGAAACCTGAAGATCTTTTAATTTGACTCCAGCAACTACTGACACCAGAAGCTTTTTCTCAGATAGGAGAGGCCTCAGTTGCAACACAGCATCTTTAACTGCAGCCACAAGTAGAAAAATAGTAATCAGATTTTATATTTCAAACAAAGAAAAAAAAAAAAAAAACTTTGTGCACTATAATATTGCAAAAATGACATTAGAGGCATAGGCAGCATGAAAAATACCAACTTGTGGCTTCACAGAGAAAATCACCACATCACTGTTTTCAACAACCTGAACACGAAAGATGTCAGTTAAAAGGGTTGATGCAATAAATAGCTCTTTCTAATATACTTCACTAACAATTGTTAGAAAATTCATTCACTCGATTACTAATACTAAGCTTAAACAGACGATATGTTTGCAATTTCATACATCTAGATGCGAATATGCTTTGCAAATACGTATCGAAATTCTAAACTAGGAAAGATCGATCATTTCGTAGACAGCGAAATGGTTGAAATTAATGTCTGTTGCTAAAATCCCGACAATCGGAAGAAAGCCCCATTAATAAACACACCAGTATGCGAATTCATTTCCTGAGGTTGTTAGGCGTTGTAGAAGAACACAGTAACATCTCACTGCTACGAATGGAAACAAAAAGTATTCTTATACCTGGTTGTTGTGTTCAGCAACACCGACACCGAAGGACTCGAAAGCGGCGCGGCGAGAGCCTTTGTGAGCTGTCTTAATACGTGAAGCGGGGAGAACACCGGATTTGACAACGCCTCTGGCTATACTCTCCGCCATCTTACCAGCTCCGATGAACCCTAGCTTGTACGTTTCACTCGGAATAGGAGAAACCGCAGACATTGTTCAATGATCAAAATGCTTCAACCAAAGCAGCGATGACAGATTGAAAGAGTCGGATCAGTGGCTTGATGATGCGAAAATACAGTGTTACCGAAATCTTCAGTAGCCCCGCAACTGATTGGAGGAGTAAGTAACCAATCCTCTCCAGTCTTCAGGAGAATCGACTTCTTATGGGCCGGGCCATTGGATAACTCAGTTGTTCAGGGTCCGGATCTATATTAATCTTATATAGAATGTGATCCAAATTAATGTAATTCAAAAAAAAAAAAAAAAAAAAAAAAAAAACTAGTATTATCTTAAATCATTTATTTGAATTTTAAAGATTTTTTTAACTTATCATATTTAAATGTTTGGTTAATTGGAATGTTTTGTCTATATAAAAATATTATTTATATACTTTTGTTATCCATATTTTCTTATTTATCTTTTCCATATTGTTATCAAGAATGCATGGAAATAGAAAAGAATGTTATATAGACATATATGTTCAATAGAAAAATATTGCTAAAAGAGATTGGAAAATAAGAAGGAAAAATGTGTATAGGTGTATTTTATTTTATATGCATTGAGCCAAGATTTCAAGATTGCGAGTGAAGAAAAAGATAGATGCTAGCGGTGCAATCTCTAAAAAAGAGAGTTGAATGATGAAATATATCAAAAAGAAGTAAATGTTGGTATGATTAATTTGGATTTTGAAAGACTTCAAGTTATTTGGATTCCTTCTTTGTTTTAGTTTAAGTTCCCTTTTTTCCTTTCAATTTCTTTAGAATTCAAGAAAAAAAATTGTGGTTATACATTTAGAGTTTTTTTTATTTTATTTTCATCGAACATTCAATATTTGAGTTTTTGAATTGACAAATTAACTGACTCTCAACACTTGAAAAATAAGTGTTTGGAAAACGATAAAGTAGAAAACGCCACAAGATTTCTAAAGCACTCCACGATAAACAATGTGATATGTCTATATTATTTAAATTCCAATAGATAAAACCAATCATGAGCGTCTTTAAAACTTTATATTCTTTTATTCATGTTCGAAAATTTTCTTTTATATGGTTTTTATTTTCGAATTGTCTAATTTGTAAGCCTAGCGATTAACTTAATGTAAATTAACAAATTTTATTTAATTTTTAACATTTTTATCATTTTCCCCTTCAACCCCTAATTAACAATCATTACAAATATAGACATCAAACATAACACTTATAAAAATAGACAACAATTCAAGAACATAATGACCACTACAAAAACTACATTCAACAACTTGCTTTGATTCAACTCTAGTTTACTTCACCACGTTCCCTCTAGAAAACATGCTTCCCTCTAGAAAACATGTTTCCATATTCTCCTACACAAATTTTGTATCATAATAACAATCCTATAGTATATATATCCTATGCAAGTTTTTAAAAACAAAATTTATACCACTTACAAAGGAGCTTAGGATCAACCCACTCGAAGTATTCACAATAATCTTTTTTTTAATCATAACATGAAAAAGGATAAATTCCATTAAAGAAGCACAACCTCCTACAAGGGTTCCAATTTGTCTAGGAGGTCGTCGATTTGACTACATAACCACAATCGCACCCTGCATTTCTTGCCCAAAACTGATTCGTGAAGTTATGTGTGTATCTCATTGACATTGCTTGTTTGTTGGTGAGATAGATAATCAATTTGAATGAGAAGAAACATAGCCAAACAACTCTTTTAAGAAACCTCCAAACAGAAGACGACGTCGTTCTTGCTCACATTGGCTTTGATGTCAGCATGAAAACCAGCTAAATGGGAGCTTTGGGGGGGGGGGGGTAACATGAGGTAAATGTGTACAAAACCGTGAGTTCAATGGCCTATTTAATACGATTAGAAATTTAATGGTTAAAAGAAGACAATTTCGAGACTTATATAAAAAAAGTCAAATACTCCAAAATTAAAAAAAAAAAAAAGAAAAGAAACTATTTTCAGTTTATCACAAAGGCCATTTCACTAATTTACTCTTACTTTTATAAAATGCAATACGATAATCAATTTTAACTTGATCCAATCATTCGTCAAGAAACCCAATTTTATGACTATGATACGATATCATGGATGCCAAATGGAAAGTAGAAAAATAAAAGGTAAAAGCATAGCGAGGGATGGTGGAACAAGCCACGATAAGTCACATGATTGGTCTGTTTGAAACTTACCAACAATTCTTCAAAATAAATACAAGTTTGTAATGCATAACGTCTAAAGCATCCAGAATCCAATAAAGATAAGATCCCTTCGAGAATCATCCCCATGTTATATTAAAACTTAATTACATAATTATCCCTCTACTCTCTTATTCTAATCTTTATCCTGTCCTTTCATAAATTCTAATTATCATCGTAGAATTTCGTTTCATAAATTGCATTTATCTCCATATAGAATATCGTTTCATATGTAATTTGGTCATAAATTGTAGTTAAATCACAATTGAACAATATCGAGATCCTTGTTGCACGAGGATGCTTTATGCACCGGACAGCTTATTTTCTTGATGATGGTATGGCCAAAAACCAAGTTAATTGTTAAAGTGTTC